TCAGCACAGAGCCCAACTCAGGGATCAAACTCACTAACCGTGAGATCATGACCTGAGCTGAAGTCAGATGCTCAATTGACTGAGCTACCCAGGTGCCTCCCTTCCTGTTCTTTAATATAAATGCTAAAACACAAGAAAGAAAACCCAGGGGGGCTTTGGTTAGGGAATTTGCAAGCATGACACATTGTTCTTCCATATGTGACTAGTCTTTCTCAGAGATCCACACACTTTTTCTGAAAAGGGCCAGATAGGAAATATTTAGGGCTTTGTGGGCCCTCTCTGTCACAACTACTCAACTCTGCTATTTTAGCATGAAAGGAATGGTACTTAAATGACTGAGAGCAGTTTTACAACAACAGGTTGCTAAATTTGGGGCCCACTACTAGAAGTTTGCCTACCTTTGGTCTATCTCCCTGGAAAAGGGCACCAGTTAAGATACTTTCAGATGCAGGGACACCTGCGTGGCTCCATTGGTTAAGCATTGACTCTTGATTTCAGCTCAGGTCATGATCTCCAAGTTTGTGAGTTCGAGCCTCACATCTGGCTCTGTGCTGACAGCATGGAGCCCGCTTCAGATTTTCTCTCTCCCTCTCTTTTTCTGCCTGTCCCTCTTCTGCTCTCTCTCTCTCTCAAAATAATTAAATAGACATTAAAAAAAAGATACTTTCAGATGCAAATAGCAGAAGCCCTAACTCAAATCTGTCTTAAATAGAACATTTATTATCTCACACAGTAGGAATTCCCAAGGTAGAGGGCAGCCTCCAAGACTAGTTAATTTAGTGGCTCATCCCTCCTCTCCTCCATCCCTCATCTTAAGGCTGGCTGTGTTCGTGGTCATAAGATGGCCACCAATAACAACTGGGTTGTATGCTTCCTTATTCAAGTAGAAACAGGAAAATCTTCTCCAACCAAAGACCGTAAGTCTTCTTGCTGTGTCTGATCTGGCCAGGTCATGACAGCACCCACCCCTCAAACAATAATGGATCCTAAGGGAGCGCCGTGTGCCAGTGGGATAGACCAAGTGGGGTGGATATTATGGAGTCAACCACCATTGTTCACTAAAAGCACATGATAGGCTATGGTAACAACCTGTTAACTTCCTTTACTTCCTACAAGAAAGGAAAAACTATTAAAGCTGTCAGAGTCTACAAATCGTAAGCTCTCCCCTTACACAAAACAAAATATTTTTTGCCAGTACTGTTTCTGAGATTGCAAGACCTTGGGAGAAGGCCTAGGCCAAAGAATAAACACAGAATTCCAATTTTCAACAAAATGTATTAATCACAAGGTTCCATTCATATGCACCTGTGCCCTGGTACTGAGATAATTGACAATGGTCATGTTCATTCACAAGACACTTCGGGTGCAATGGCTGATAGGTTTGACAGAAAGCCACCCAAACATACATTGTCATAACTCTTTAATACAGAGTTGAATATGCCTTCTCAGGCCTCACGACTCAGTTAGTTACCTTGTTCTTGATAATTCATTTTGCCAAAAAAATGCATTGATATATATATTTTTTTAATTTTATTTTTTATTTTTTAAAGTTTACATCCAAATTAGCATATAGTGCAACGACTTCAGGAGTAGATTCCTTAGTGCCCCTTACCCATTTAGCCCACACCCCCCCCCGTACAACCTCTCCAGTAACCCTCAGTTTGTTCTCCATATTTATGTTATGTCTCCATATTTATGTTCTCCATATCTGTTTTGTCCCCCTCCCTGTTTTTATATTATTTCTGTTTCCCTTATGTTCATCTGTTTAGTCCCTTAAAGTCCTCATATGAGTGAAGTCATATGGTTTTTGTCTTTCTCTGACTAATTTCATTTAGCATAACACCCTCCAGTTCCATCCACGTAGTTGCAAATGGCAAGATTTCATTCTTTTTGATTGCCGAGTAATACTCCATTGTGTGTGTGTATGTGTATATACATACACATCTTTATCCATTCATCCATCGATGGACATTTGGGCTCTTTCCATACTTTGGCTACTGTTGATAGTGCTGCTATAAACATGGGGGTGCATGTGTCCCTTTGAAACAGCACACCTGTAATCCCTTGGATACATGCCTAGTAGTGCAATTTCTGGGTCATAGGCTAGTTCTATTTTCAGTTTCTTGAGGAACCTCCATACTGTTGGCCAGAGTGGCTGCACCAGCTTGCTTTCCCAGCATTGATATATTTGATTTTGATAAGAAGATGACTTACCTCATTGGGTCTGACAAGTAATCAGAATATGTTTCATCTTCGTAAAATGGTAAGATGTTGTCCAAGACTGCATGCTGCCCAGTCTCCAGTGATTTTGTTGACTCTATTTTTAGTCTGCTTTCTTTCCCATTAAAAAAAAAGTGAATTCAGGTATCCAGGCAGTTCTTCATTTTCTTTCTTTGACTTTCCTGATCTTATTAGCTCACTATAAATCTGGTGACCATTGCTAAGGTGTTTTACTAGCAAATTGCTACAATGGCTGTTGCTTTTATAATTTGCTATTAATGATCATTGTCTTATTACTCTTATAAATTTACTGTTTCGACATTTATGATTACAGTTACTTATAGTTCAGTATTCTTCCTGTGATGTTGCAAAACAAGCAAACCCTGGGTTGGTTTCTTTCTTTTTTTTTTTTTGTTTGGTGTGTGTGTGTGTGTGTGTGTGTGCGCGCGCACGCGTGCATTTTGTTGTTGTTGATAGACTGACTATGGTATACTTAGATTGAGTATGAATTAGGTTGACAAAATAAAAAGATTGTCTAAACTTTGTTGTTCTCATAAGCTTTTTGACTGGCTTATTCTGTATATCACTACAGATTGAGGAATATAAAAAACTCTGTGAATTGAAGAGAAAGGATACTTATCAAAAGAAGAAAGAATTGGATACATTAAAACTTAAAGTGTCAAAAATGAGAGAAACAGTTAGTACCAGGACAGTGGTAAGAAAGAATAAACTATGTCTCTCCAGGCCTGTCCAGGGCACCTTGATATATATATACACTGTCTTAAATATAACCAGCAGCAGGTGCTTTTTTAAAGGAGCTGATTTTAATCTATCTGCATGCCATTCTGAGAGAATGTTTTTGGCGTGCTAAGGTTTTCTGACACTTTATTTAAAATGGTATAGTGTGATTGTGTTTTTTCTTTGGGAATATGGTCAGAAGAAGGAAGCTTGAATTACCTTAGGTACAAACTGCATTCGATGGACCAGAATACTGTAAAAATGGGTTTTTAAAATGCACACAGAACTGACCAGGTGCATACAGAACCATATATAACATCTCCATGAGATTGTTTTATTTTACATAACAAAATGAATAGCCATGGGCAAATTCCTTAATTCTGAATGTGTGATAATAAAACAGCTTAGGCTTTTGATTTATATTGGCTACAGGAGCATTAATGTGGAAAGGGGACTATTCGTATGAAGTAGAAAATACTTCAGAGCTCTGTGCTTCTATTTTTTAAAATTGATAACATTGATTGAAAACCAGCCCTCATAAATGTTTTGTGAGGATTATCCTTATTTTAAAGATAAGAAAACTGAAGCTTATTCAGATGGTTCTAATGGAAGAGGGTAATGATAATACCCCTTCTGTGTTAATTAAAACAGAAATGCCTGCTAATCTTCTATTGAAATTAGTTGAATTAACGAGTCTTTGGTGTATTTCTTCTATCTGTATTGAGAATTACATGTAAAACTATATGGGGCAACAGTCATCACATTTCTTACCAGAAACATCACACTTCTCATCAGAATACTCAGCTACTTCCCTTACACTTTTTATAGAGTGGTTCTGATCATTCTGATCATCTTAGTTACAGTGTGTCTATTATATCCAATTACAGAATATTAGTAGAATCAAAATTTCTCCCCAGTATGTGTTTTTAAGATCATTGGGGTGCCTGGGCAGCTCAGTCAGTTAAGCCTCCAAATCTTGATTTTGGCATAGGTCACGATCCCAGGGTCGTGGGATTGGGTCCAGGTCATTAGGCTGCGTGCTGGGCGTGGAGGCTTCTTAGGAGTCTCTCTCCCCCCTTCTGCCTCTCCCCCACTCTTGCATGCAGGTGCAATAAATAAATCAGTAGATAGATAAATAATCATTATCTGTTTTTCAAATATCTGTATAGTAAGCAAGCATGAGTGAGGCTAGATTCAAAGGAGAACAGAAGGGTTATATCAGATAGACTTTATCTGTAGGCCCAAGCTCCTGCCTTTGTTTGCATCTCATAGGTCATGAGTCAGGTACTCCATCAACTCAATTGGGAAGACACAGTATATATTCCTTCACCTGTGCTCCAAAGATCTCTAAGACCAAATTATGCAAGGCTAGAAGATGGCAAGGATAAACTCACCTCCAGCGTCATCGCCACCTCCCATAAGCCAACATGCCCACCCTAACTCCACTTTACTGCAGGAGAATAGTGTTTAAAGCACAAACTTGAGTGTCACAGAGACCTGGGGTTCACATTTTTAACTCTATCAACCTGAAGTTTCCGCACCTATAAAACGGGGTGATAATACTGCCTACTTCAAAGGGCTAGAAGCTCAAGTGAGGTCATGCCCATAAGACTTTTAGCTGAGTGCTTTGTATTTGGTAAAGGTGGTTATTGGGGTTGTTACTCTCACCATCCACGATTAGAAAACAGGGTTTGGCTGTGGACTGAGACAACAGGAAATTCCAGGTTAATCTTCCAGGGTTGTCTTCATTTTAGATGACTCTGCAGCCCGGTCAAGCTGAGGTGATGTTGCCAGAAAAGAATAATGGTGTGTGATTCTTGAGGTGGCCTACATGCCCAGGGCAGGGGGGACTGAAGGCGAGAGGTGACCGATGAAGGGCCTAAATGGGCCTTCAGCACACAGCCACTAATCCTCATGATCGGTCACAGTCCTTTAGACATTGTGCTCATGTTCGACTTCAGACCCTTGTTAACTCTAAAACTAGTTATTGCCCAGAAGTTGAGTCATATGGGTGCTTCAGAGAAAGAAACAGTTGAGGGGAGCTTTCGTGCACCTGTCTAGTAGGAATGAGAGCACCTGTGTTCCCCACCGATGTTTCTCTGACTCCACATTGATGTGCAGGGTTAGATGCCATTAATCTGCCTGTGGTGACTCCATGCCAGGGGGCAGTGGAATTTGATGAACTTTCTCTCCCTTCCATTTCTCCCTCACAGCTGAAGTGCAGACCCAAGGCTCTAATTTGTTTGCCTCCCCCTTTCTTTATTCCAAAACTGCATTGTTAACACATGTGCCACTTGGAGTTTTCTCTATTCATACTTCATTCTTTTAAATGATGTTAATATTTTACCACAGCACCCAGCTGTTACATTTCCAAAATACTGATTAATATTAAGAAAACTTCTCTTAACCTGAGCATATTTGTCAGTTAAGGTAATTTGTTTTTACTTTTTTTTTTTTTTTTTTAAATAATACTCATTCTAATGTCCTGGAATATTTTGAAAATGATTGTGAAAGTACAGATTTGTTTAGACTTATTTTAAAAGGTAACCAAAATGAATTCATGTCTTAAAAGTTGTTTTTATAGTTTTCGTATTCTTGTTGCTATATTTGGTTGCTTGCTCTCTCTCCAAAATTGTAGGGTTTTTTTTTTCTGATGATTTCAGAATTATTTCCGTCCAAGTTTGTTCTATGAATAAATAATTTTAATGATTGCTTTTTATCTTAGCTAAAGGTACCCCCAATGTAAAAGTTGAATAAGTGATACATGAATATTTAGTGAATTGAACACTTCCATGAATCATTTGGTGACAATTGAATACCATAATTTTATTGAATTATCAATAGGTTCTTAGTGATCACAATTTAGAGATAGCACAACTACAAGAATCAATAAGGCATTGGGAACAAGAGATTGAAGAAATGAAGAAATCCTGTAAGATCCTGGAGGATAAAATGTAAGTTCAATGCTTTATTTTTACTAAAACGTTTCTAGATGTTATATATTTTTTTAATATTAGATTGAGAACTATATTCTCTTAATTTACTAAAATTTGCAATTGTCAGCTTTATAAAACCACCTCTTCGTTTGGAAATTAACCAGTCTTCCACATGATCAAGAGAAAAAATTGAGGAGGATACAATCCTGTATGAATTGTCCCCACTTTAGTTCCTGATTCCCTACAAACAAATATGCCCCCAGGGGAAGGCATTAGTGGAACCTCCTGTAGGTTCACCTACCCTTGCTATGATAGTTGTGGTTCTTAGTCAAGGGGGACTTACAGAACTTATTGAAAAAAATACAAGGATATTTCAGGTCAAAACCCATGGGACTAGAACCATAAACTTAAGGAAATCTGTCCATCCCAAGGAACAGTCTCTGCTTCCTTTTGGGAACCATGTTTCATTCTCTATCTACATACTATGTTCTCTCCTTGGGGAGCCCATGGCTAAACATGGCCATTCCAAACCCTCAAAGGTTACCTGTCACAGGTCCATCTATCTTTAGAGATTGGCCCACAGACTTCTCCCAGGAGAATTCCCAGATTTTTCCCATCAGAAGGTGTTTGGCTCAGCTCTGACCAGGAAGAGTGGGGTCTTGTAGTACAAATATGGCTTCCAGGCCTTCCCCTAGATTCTGCTGGCAGTTTAAAAGACAAATTTTGGACTTAGTAGGTTCCCCAAAAGGCAAGTAACTTCCCATGTGTAATCTCATTATAATATAGCTTATTTCTGTGTAGGATTAAATGTTTTGTGATTTTTATGTTTTCTAAAACAGCGGTTGCCAACAGTACAGTGCTATTCTACCATCATCAGGCCATAAAATAGGCAATAATCTTTGCACTCAGTACCAGATTTAAAAATATAAAATCTTGGGGTGCCTGGCTGGTTCAGTCAGTGGAGCCTGTGACTCTTGATCTTGGGGTTGTGAGTTTGAGTCCATGTTGGGCAAAGAGTTTACTTAAAAATAAATAATTTTTTAAAAAGAAGTATAAAAGCTCGAGTCTATAACTAAAACTCAGAATAAAAAAATCTTTTTCTTTGAAAGTGATTCAATAGTTTTAGTTCATGCATATTTTGAAGAAAAACTAGGCAAATAATCATAGAGGAAGATACAGATCAGGTCTTCAGTTATTTCTAGGAGTTATGATTTAAAAACTTGCTATACTGATGAAGTTTTATTGATAAGTAGTCTTCATGTTAGCTAATTTGTTTTAAATATACATTCAAGAATGAAATGGGGATTCATTGATCTTCTACTTTTAATGGCTCATCATTTTTTTTTTTTATCCCAGCTTTTCAAGAGTTTTCATTCATATGGGATCTCTGTGAGGAAAAGTGCATTTGGTTAATTTGGTGATTGAAGATTTCAGTTACCCCCTTTGTTACTAATAAAACTATACCTTTTTTCTTTACTACCAAGCAAATTAAAAGAAAATTCTTACGTTCTTTCTGTTTTCTCCTTTAGTTCATTTACTCAATTTATGGAAGTGAGAAAAGGCACCTAAATCTTGGTTGGTAGATTTGAAGAGTCAAACAGTGTTGTTTTATTTTTTATTTATTTATTTATTTATTTTAACATTTATTTATTTTTGAGACAGAGAGAGAGAGAGAGAGCATGAACAGGGGAGGGTCAGAGAAAGAGGGAGACAGAATCTGAAACAGGCTCCAGGCTCTGAGCTGTCAGCACAGAGCCTGACGCGGGGCACGAACCCACAGACCGCGAGATCGTGACCTGAGCTGAAGTTGGACGCTTAACCAACTGAGCCACCCAGGCGCCCCAAACAGTGTTGTTTTATAATAGTCCATAAGATTCTTTAAGAATAAATGATACAGGGGCGCCTGGGTGGCACAGTCGGTTAAGCCTCCGACTTCAGCCAGGTCACGATCTCACGGTCCGTGAGTTCGAGCCCCGCGTCAGGCTCTGGGCTGATGGCTCGGAGCCTGGAGCCTGTTTCCGATTCTGTGTCTCCCTCTCTCTCTGCCCCTCCCCCGTTCATGCTCTGTCTCTCTCTGTCCCAAAAATAAATAAAAACTTTGAAAAAAAAATTAAAAAAAAAAAAAGAATAAATGATACAATAAACTAAAATAATTTGCACAAACTCATCTTCCTATTAATCAATAAACTTTATTTTTCCCCCATAAAGTCTTTAATTTCCAAGCTTGTTACATGTTTTGAGGTCCAAATATTGAGGAAAAACAAATCACTCAAACATGAGTTAAAATTCTGTGTGTGGACAGTTGAGAGAACATAAATGCTCCACAAGTCCACAGGAAGCATTGATAGTTTAAACCTTATTCATTATTATTATTGATGTCCAGCATGATGTGTTTGCATAATAAAGGCAAATCCTGTGTCTGCATTTCTAACCGAGTATGGTCTTTCTTCACCATTCAGCTAGTTTTCAGCACACAGGAAGTTGGAAACTAAATGTTGTGTATAAATGGTATCCAATTTGTGACCCTGAGTATACACTTACCATTGCAGTGAAGGCTGTGAAAATTATAGATGCTTTTTTAGAAGGGTTGAAATGACTTCAAGATTTTCCTGATTACCAATGACCTGTACCGCCAAACGTTAATGATTTAGCCTATTCCTTAAAGTTCTTGAATTCTTAATGGAATTTGACACATTTCCACCTTCTTGAAATACTTTCTTCCCTTGGCCTCCCAAACATCATATTTTCTTATGTCACTCACTAAACTGCCCCTTTTTAGGGCCCTTTATTTGTTCCAGTTCTTCTCTCTGGCTCTAAATTTGGGAGTTCTCAGCCCTTCTCTTCATACTCTCCATACATGATTTGATCCAGTCTTAGGGTGTTATATACCTTCTGTACCCCAATGATTCCCAAATTAAATATCCAGCACAGAGTTCTAAATGCATATTTGACCTCTCCAGCATATTTGACCTCTCCGTTTGAAGGATATCTGTTAGATATCTCAAATATAACACGTCCTAAACGGAACTCTTAATTTCCCACCTCCTTGAAACAGCTCTTCCGTCAGTCTTCCATATCGCCATTTACCTAGTTACTCTAGCCAAAAACCTAGGAATCATGCGTCAATCCTGTTTTCCTCACTACCTAACCCTAACCCAACCTCCAGCCAAATCCAAAGGCAGATCCAACTATTCCTCATTACTTCCACCACTTCAACTTTAGTCTGAACCACCGTTTTCTCTTCTTGACCACTGCTGTAGCCTTCTACATAGTCTGTCTTCCTGTATTGCTGTCTTTCTCCACTAAGTAGCCACAGTCATCTTTACAAGATGTAAATCAGTTCATGTCTCTCCTCTGCTTAAATTCTCCCCTGGTTCCCTTCACAATGATATCTGAACTTCTCCTTTGTCCTTGAGACCCTACGTGATCTAGTCTCTGCCTCTCCAACTTTCTCATAATTGTCTCTTCACCAAATACCCAAAACTTGTTCTTGCCTCAAGATATTATCACTGACTGTTCCTTCTACATGAAAAGCTCTTTCTTCAGATCTTCACCTATCTGGCTCCTTTTCATCATTCAGGTCTTTCACAGATCATCTCAAGAAGCCTTCCATTACCACCTATCTACAATAATATCCTCACTCTCAGGAATTCTCTGTCCTTCACCCTACTTTGTGTTCTTTAAAGCACTTAACACTATCTGAAATAATAATAATAATTGTTGTTATTTTGATAACTTGCTTATATTCTACTTCACTAGAGTGTAATTTCCATGAGGGCAGGGACTTCACCTGTGCTGTATCTCTAGTACCTATAATACCTGCAGAGGACAAGTGTTTAATAATTACTTCTTAATAAATAAAGGAAGTATTAATTCTTCAAACAAGTAAAAAATTTTTTGCTTAGTTTTGTGAATATACCCATAAATATGTTGTATAGGAAGATGGGGACTGGAAGTTTCTGGAGTCATAAATAAATGTGGCTTTACTGGAAAACATGCCCTAATATGAATCTGTTTGGCTTCCTTTGATCATAGGCATTTTTTTATGAATAACAAGGAAAAACTGGAAGATTCATCTAGTGTTGAAAAAGATGAAATTTTGCAGAAGATAAAGCAGGTAGGAAGATGGAAATTACGCCTTTTAGATTATTATTCGTTTTTATTTTTGGTTAATATTTAAAAAAATTTTTTTAATGTTTATTTATTTTTGAGACAGAGAGAGACAGAGCATGAACGGGGGAGGGTCAGAGAGAGGGAGACACAGAATCTGAAACAGGCTCCAGGCTCTGAGCTGTCAGCACAGAGCCCAACGCGGGGCTCGAACTCACGGACCACGAGATCATGACCTGGGCCAAAGTCGGCCGCTTAACCGACTGAGCCACCCAGGCGCCCCTAATATTTTAAATATATTTGAGAAATGTGAAATTTTCCAAAAGTAGATTTTTCATGATATAATAATGATAATATAATAATATATATTATAGTATATATTATGTATTATATATATAATATAATATAATAATCATGATCATTTGTAGTAATTGATTTAAAGATTTTATTCCCTCCCCAAATATTTTAAATATATGAAAAAGCAAATGTTGTCTATGTGAAAGTGAATCTTTGTTTGGTAACTTTTCATGTGGTTATGGTTATAATACATTAGAAATATCCAGATCAATGGGTATTTTTCATCCGAATTATTTAGAAAAAAATGGGACCCTCTTGCTGTTGTGTGGTACCTGTAAAGTCTAGCAACCCATATTGTGCTTAGTAAGCAGTGAAATATTTGAGTCAGATTAGCATCCAGGAGAATTCTCTAGACATTTTAAATTTTGGTTAAAAGAAATATCATAAGTACTTAACTACGGGTATAAACCAAAATTTATCCACAAGGTATTCAGTAAAGCATTCCTTATAATAATTGAAAAATTAGGGGGAAGATACAATTAAAGTCCAACAAAAGGGCCTTGGTTAAGTAATAGCTCATAATATATTATTGTGTGACAAATAGAATATAAAACAGTACACTGGATCTCTTCCATAAGAATGATTTGAACCGGTTACATTCTTTCCATTTGGTTATGAGCTAATGGCATTAGGGACCGCTTCCCTCCAGGTTAGACCTACTCTGATTCTTTAGTTGTGAAGATTCTGAAAGACAGAAACTAGACAAGGTTGGTAGGTTGGCTGGGTGGTCAGTTGGTTGGTTTTTAAAGTTGTCTTTCATTCTCTGGGCAAAGGATTTCTTTTTCCTTTCCGTTTATTTCCTGAAGCTGTCAGGCAGGCTTCAGATGATAGCTCCGTAGTTTGCAGGCCCCCAACTGTCTGGAAAATCCAGGACCCCTACACTGCATGGCTTACTTGCTCAAAGGGCAAATGCAAAGGGGTTTCGCTTTAATCCATAGCCGTCAGCCAAATTCCATGAGTTCAAGTCAGTGACTGCTTCAAAGGGATCAGGGCTCTGACCCATTTACTATTTCCACTGGACTCTCGGTGGCAGCCAATCTTAATTCTCATGAGGTGTAGGAGACAAGTTCAGTGATGAAATTCTATTGTAACTTTATTTTAATTTTTTTTATTATAAGATATTACACACAGAACAGTACCCACGCTATAAATGTACAATCCTTATGTACATACATATCTTTTGATGGGTATAATTTATTAGTTGCAATGAAGTACAGTTTATCAATCTTTTCCTTTTTGGTTTTTATGTCCTTTGTCATGAAGATACTATTTCATGATCTTCTAGAAGATTTATTGTTTGCCCTTCCACATTTAGGACTACAAGCCATCTGGAATCTGTGTGTGTGTGTGTGTGTGTGTGTGTGTGTGTGTGTGTGTGTGTGTGTATGCTGTGAGATGGTGGTCAAGGTTCATATTTTTCCATAAGATTATCTAGCACCATTTAATGAAAAGAACATCTTTTCCTGCACTATACTGTAATGGTAAGTTTGTCATAAATCAACAGGCAGATCATAAATACATTGTAAATATGTGTGTAGATCTGTGGACTCCCTATTGTGTTCCTTTGGACTTGTCTCCCCTCACATTAAAACCAGACTTTCTTAATTAGCAGCTTTTAACATAAGCCTTTATAGTTAGCAGTATAAATCCTTCCACTTTGCTCTTCAAGATTGCTTTCACTGTTCTTGGCCCTTTGAATTTCTGTCAGTCTGTCAAGTCCTGCCAAAAAAACCTGTTTGCATTTGGACTGGGGTTGCATTATATCTATAAATCAATTTGGGGAGAATGTCACATTCTTACAATATCAAGGCTTCCAATCCATGAAAGTGGTGTACCTCATTTATTTTAGGTCTTCTTTGTTCCCTTTGACTTATTCACTTTCACTATCATATGTCCACATTTTCTTTATTTCTCCTGCTTTGGGATTTATTGGGCTGCTTAGATCTGTAAATTGCTGTATTTTGCAAGTTCTGCAAAATTCTTAGCCGTTATCTGTTCGCATATTTCATTCCCTTTCCTCTTGGTCTGAGACTCCAATTGTATATATATGTATGCACGTGTGTGTATACAATTATTTGTGCTAATAAACACATCCTCTATGTTTTTTTACCCTCTCTTTCGTGTTTTCTATCTTTTGTCTCCCCCTGCTGTATTCTGGGCAGGATGGTCTTATTTCAGCTGTTAATTTTGGTTATTGAATTTTTTAAATTGGTAATTTTCAAATCTGCATTGTCTATTTCAATTCCTTGCCGTAATTTTCAAGTATGTCTAACATTTCTTTGATTATAGTAAACACAATATTTGTATAGTTCAGTATCTAATTCCACTCACTATCTGATGTTTTTATAGGTTTGTTTCCGTAGTCTTTTGCTTCTGCCAATTTTTTTTCATGCTGTCTTATTTCCTTCTGTTCCTAGTAGAAAACTGTATACCAGACATTGTATTTGGGGGGAGGGGGGGAGTTTGTAAAAACAATTTGAAGCTTAGGATGATCATATCTTTTCCAGGAACAGACTTTAATTCACTTCCGTCAGATGGCTGGGGTATTACCAGTCCCAAACCACTTTAATGCACCCTTAGGTTCACTGGTGATCAAAATTAGGCTGGGCCATGGCTTATTAGCTTCCAATTTACCCTTCTCCAGAGCATGAAGCTTTTTGAGACCACAGGTTAAAGTGGTAGAAGATTTATCAAACTCAATACCTGGATGAACTCTGTTGATTTTTGTCCCTCTTGTCACGTAAGAGAACTAAAATTCTATTTCCAAGTGGTTTCTTCCATATCAATCAATGTCCTTAGGGTAAAAGGAGTTTTCAGTGCTAGATTTACTACTCTGGATTTTTTTTTTTGAGAGTGAGAGAGAGAGCAGGGGAGGGGAAGAGGAACAAGGAGAGAGAACCCTAAGAAAGCTCTACACCCATCACAGAGCCCAATAATGCAGGACTTGATCCCATGACTGTGGGATCATGACCCGAGCCAAAATAAAGATTCAGATGCTTAACCAACTAAGCCACCCCAGTGCCCTCTATTATGGAGTCTTGATTTCTTGTAGAATTAGTCATTATCTTGTTAGTTCTTCAACACTTCTAAGATATTTTTTCATCCAGCTATTCTAGTAATACTCAGCCAAAAGGTTATTGTGAACTGCTCAGCCCATCACTCCTACTGAACATAACTTTCTTACCTCTTTTGAAGCAATAGAGACATTTTAAACACAAACTTCTCGAATAGCAAGTTCACTAATAAACATTAGTTTTGTCCTTGAATAGAAATATTTAACAAGAAGCAGACCTAGTATCTCATCAAAGAGGTTTTGAGCAAGAGCTTCTATTGGTGTTACATTTTCTTTTCCCTAGTGTAATTTATCTTCTGGGAAAAGGACTTATGGATCCTGTTGAATGATCTCCGTTTATCAATCTCAATGCTTATATCAATATGAATGATTTACTCTGTGGTGTTTGCATCAGTGTCTACTACCTTTCTATACTTTTGTCATAATTTATAGGAGAGGCCCCAAAATGTATAACTGAATATTTGATACAGAATTAAATCACTCAACATTTATGGCATAGTTATTGTATGCTAAGCAACATACCCAGTGTTCTAGAGTTGCCACATGACTGACTCCCATCAAAGGAAATGTGTCCTCTAATTGCTTTTTTTTTCCCTAGATGGCTGAAAAACTACACAAAAATCATTTAGAGAGCAAAGATCTACAGGAGAAATTGCATACTCTTACCAGACAATATAAGATTGTCTTAAGTGAGGAGGAGAAAGTTTTTATACAGAAACAGAACACTTATAATGAGTATGTTTCTATCCATGATCTGTACATGAATCAACATGTTATGGTTATGGGGTTTCCTTGGCATCAAAATGGTGACTCTCTAAAGAATGAAATATGGCCCTTTGTAGCAACATGGATGGAACTGGAGAGTGTGATGCTAAGTGAAATAAGCCATACAGAGAAAGACAGATACCATATGTTTTCACTCTTATGTGGATCCTGAGAAACTTAACAGAAACCCATGGCGGAGGGGAAGGAAAAAAAAAAGAGGTTAGAGTGGGAGAGAGCCAAAGCATAAGAGACTCTTAAAAACTGAGAACAAACTGAGGGTTGATGGGGGGTGGGAGGGAGGGGAGGGTGGGTGATGGGTATTGAGGAGGTCACCTTTTGGGATGAGCACTGGGTGTTGTATGGAAACCAATTTGACAATAAATTTCATACATTAAAAAAAACATTGTAAAAAATTTACAGTAAAAAAAAAATGGTAACTCTCTACTTAAGTTCATCCTAGCTTTAAAATCTATTGACAACGATGAAATATTTACCTAAAAATACACACACTCCTCATCTGCCTGTATATGCACTGAGTAATGCTTTCCTCATATGGGTTAGATCAAATCCATAAACACCATGAGCATTATATTTACTTCTACGTCAGATTCTTGAAAAAAGAATCCTGCTTTTACTCCATGAGACTGTTTAGAGAAACTGTGAGATCTACCTTCATCAGAAACTGGCTCTGCCATCTCTTCCCTACCTCTGTGAAGGGTTTGGTCATTGACACAATCCCCTAACCCAGAGACTGGGAAATTATTCAAGGAAATTCCTATCTTTTACTACCCGTTGGACTCCATTCAAGTACCAAGGCTTGTCAATTCCACCTCCCGGATATTTCTCAAATATATCCCATTCTTCTCTCCAACTCCATTCTTGTCACCTCTTTCAGCTTCTTTGCACTGGCTTGTCCCTCCAAAGTTCTCCCCACTTTCTGCTTTACCACCCTTAAGTTGTTCACCTTCCTTCCACCGGAATGATCCTTCTGAAACATCCCTCTGATGCCATTCCTTTTCATCAGTCACTGCATTGTCATAAGTAGTCTATAAATCTCTTGTTTCCACTGAACTATGAACAGATCAGGGTATTTACTCAGTGCTACATCCCCAGGACCTTGTACATTGCTTAGCAGATAGTGGGCATTCACCAATATTTTCTTAACGAATACATAATAACATCTTGCAAGCATGAATTCTATAAGTAATGATCCATTACTACAGACAAAGTTAGATCACACAGAAGTGTAATTACAGTGTCCAGGCACAGTTAGGTGAAACTGAGTTTATGGTCATTGCAGCATGTGAGCTGCAGAGAGTAGTTACAATCATTGTATCTCATTCAACTGAAAAACCTACCAAGAGTCTGCTTTCAGTAGCTTTTTTCAGCAAAAAAGATTTCCCCAGATCAGTACTGAGTTAATCAGTACTCATCTACAGGTAAAGTTTCCTTCAAGGTCACACTGCTAGAAAGAGGTAAAGCCAGTATTTAAAGTTGGTCTAACTGACCCCTTCACCTTTCATAAAATAACATGGTAGAATTGATAATGTGCTGATGACAAATCATTGTAACACTAAAACATTTACTATTGTTACTCGTTTTTGTCTTCAGCTTGGGCTGCCATGACTAAGCACCATAGACTGGGTGGTTTAAACAACGGAAATTTATTTCTCACAGTTCCAGAGGATGGAGATCCAATATCAGGGTGCCAGCATGGTTGGGTTCTGGTGAGAGCCCTTTTTCCTGGCTTGCACAAGGCTGCCTTCTTGCTGTGTTTTTACATGGTAGAAATAGGGAGAAAACAAACTTCCTGGTGTCTCTTCTTACAAGGAGCCTCTTCGTCATGACCTCATCTAATCAGGTGACCTCGTCACTTCACAAAAGCCTCACCTTCCAATACAATCACATTGGGTGTTAGGGCTTCAACACACAAATTTTAGGGACTGAACACAGTTCAGTCCATAGAAGTTTTGAAGAAGACGAGATACTTGTATAAAGCACTTTCTGTTACAGGAATGCCCCTATCAATGTCTGGAAAAAACTGAAATTGAACAAAACTGTATACTTCCTATTATTCTCTCTACAAATTGGAGACAAAATATTAACCACTTTTTACAAAGTGCCTCATGAGTCCCACGCACTGGATTGAGCACTTTATAGCTCATTTAATCCTTATAGCTGTTGAGATAGGTATTATGATCCCTGTTTTATGGATGGAGATACTGAGGCTCATCGCCAGGTGAAGTTTCCTTCAGGGTCACACTGCTAGAAAGAGGCAAAGCCAGTATTTAAAGTTGGTCTAACTGACCCCTTCACCTTTCACAAAAGAACATGATAGAATTGATATATATTAAAAGAGACATCCCTGCTCAGAGGGACAGAGTGCTAGGGACAGGACTGTTCTTGTGGTTTTATGGTGACTACAGCAGTTCATGCTCTCTCCATGGCTTAGGAATTTTCATTAGTTTAGATTTCACCACCACTAGCAAAAAGACTTTGTTTCTATTTTCCTAATTTGTTCAGTAAATAGTTGATGAACCAAACTTGGCAGCCTACATTCTACATTCTTATTTGTGATTGCAATGTCCCCTCATGCTGAAGAGTTAAAAAAAATGATTTCACCTTTCAACATATGCTAACTCTGGTTTTTTTTCATGGTAGGAATCAGAAACAAATGGCATTTATTAGTCGGAAAGAAAACTTCCTATCGCAAAGAAAAGTAGACATCAAAAATATGGAGGAAGGACTTGTCACTCTCCAGGAACTTCATCAGTATGTTTGTTGCCCTTGAAACATTTAATCATTCTTTTCTGCATTTGTTTTAATATATGGTAACCATAGATCTATCAGTTTCTGATATCCTATAGAAAAGGAAGTTTATAATTCACTGTCTCTGTTTTACAGTATAGAAGGGTCATTATCATTGAATCTACCATTGAAAGGGTAGACAGGTCCTGAGTTCTGGACAAGCTGCTGGACATGAGAAATGGACCCATCAGGAGTCTAGGAACAAGAATGTGCCTGAACATTATCACAACACTGACCCCCTATGGTGTTCATTTCTGCCATTCTAAATCACTTTAATTTTTAATTTTAGTTTTTCTGATTAAAATAAGTAATACCTGATGTGATTTTAAAATTCAAATGTAGAAATGTGTGGCTTTGGGGCGCCTGGGTGGCTCAGTCGGTTAGGCATCCGACTTCAGCTCAGGTCATGATCTCGCGGTCCGTGAGTTCGAGCCCCGTGTCGGGCTCTGGGCTGATGGCTCAGAGCCTGGAGCCTGCTTCTGATTCTGTGTCTCCCTCTCTCTCTGCCCCTCCCCTGTTCATGCTCTGTCTCTCTCTGTCTCAAAAATAAGTAAACGTTAAAAAAAATTAAAAAAAAAAAGTGTGGCTTAGAAGCATAAAAGTGACCCTAATCTCTGTCTCCCCACAGCGATCTCACTGTTAACAGTTTGCTATGCATACTTTCTATAATAGGAGTGTGTACGTACACCCAAAAATAGGATTGTACTTTTCTAGAACTGTAATTTATCCACTTAAAATTGTATCTGGGTAACTTACACAATATTATATTTCAACTATATCTCCATAAAAAGCTGGAAAAATATATCTGGGAAAACGATAAAACAAGTGTGATAAAAGGTAACATTTGGAGAAATTGGTGAAAGGTATATGGGAATTCTTTGTATTAATTTTTACACTTATCTGTTGATTTTAAAACTATTTCAGAAGGAGGCAAAATTCATATAGATGGGACCTCATTCTTCAGTCTTTCTTTAGCTGCTTAATATTCCTTTCACTGAATATGCTATGTTTTATTTAACCAGCACCCTACTGATGCTTTGGCTTTTGTGTTTTCTCTACTATAAGCATTTTTCAAATTAACCTCCTTTAGCATATATCCACGTATACAACTGTTTCTTTATAATAACGTCCTAAAAGTTGAATTACGAGATTATAGGGGGTTGCATATTTTTTATTTTTATAATTTGAATATATTTTATGACTTGAGTGTAGGGCAGTGGAGAAACTAACTTACAGCACTAAGACAAGTGGAGATGAAATTTGACTCCTGCCAACAGAAATCTAGAACACAGCAGGATGTGCAGGTTGCTTGTCCTTACACTGTTGAACAACATATTTAAACATCTGTTTCTCATGTTGGTTTCAGAAAGGAAACTATGAACCCTTCCCTGTGAAAGAGTGGGAAAATAGAACTGGGTTGAGTTAGGGGTTTTGTTTTCCACATGAATAACGCAGATTCTATAATCAAGTATTGTGCCATCATGGTTCCCATCACCAGGAAGCTCAGAGCCAAATTTGTGACCCAATACTGGTTTTCATTTAGTACTTTTAATGTTGTTGTTATTTCACTCTAGTTCAACTACTTTGTGGATTAAACTAAATACATAAATAAATAAAATCAATGAGATTGGGCACATTGCGAAGAATCTTAGAGTTCCAGGGAAGGGTGAAGTGGAAAAGAAAAAGAAAAAAAGGAAAAAAATAGTTACAAACAGAGAGGGAGGGAGGCAAACCCACAAGAGACTCTTAAATACAGAGAACAAACTAAGGGTGGATGGGGAGGTGGAGAGGGAGGGGAAAATGGGTGATGGGCATTGAGGAGGGCACTTGTTGGGATGAGCACTGGATGTTGTATGTAAGTAAGCCAATTTGACAATAAATCAAATTCATAAAAAAAAAAAAAGAAAACCCACACTGTGA